AGTTACAGCCATGGACCTGAGTCAGACACAGAAAGGGCTTAAGTCAGAACACGCTGGATGCTTTATTAGAAGACAGGAGGAGCAGAAAGCGCCAGCAAAGGCAATGGCCAGAGGCACTCAGGAGAGACAAAGCAGCGAGCTCTCTCACATTCAGTTAAGGAGTGCAGGAGTGGGAGCTGAAACCATTTTAGAGAACAATTTGGCATTATCACATTTTTGAATGTGCATTCTTCATCATTGGTCCTGGTAGTGCCTTTCTTAAATACTTATCCTACAAAAATATTAGTATTCCAGTGAAAAAAACATATGCCCAAAGATGTTCACTGCAGCCAAAAAATGAGAAACCACCCAAGTGTTCAACCTGGGAGACTGGGCAAAAATATGTAAATTTACACAGTGAAAGATATCCAACCAACTGACTAGTCATGCATTTGTGTAAAAGCAATAACTCTGGTTTTCCAGAATAACATCTAAATATAAACACAAGATTTTAGCAATGAAAATGACTAACAAAATAAGTTTAATTCCTGGTGTTTAAATTTCAACATGGATGTAGATACAAGCTACAGGCATCTGTCAGGGAAGTCAGTGTTTAGAGAGCAGCATCTCTTCCCAACCTCAGTCCTCTAGCTCCTCTACTCAGAAACTTATTTCACCACCCACATATACCCTATAAAGACTCCCTGAGCAGTTACCATGTGCCTATGTGTTGTCACCTAAGGTACTGAAATGGCTATTTTGCAATGTTCATCTTTTTTTTTTTTTTTCTTGAGACGAAGTCTCACTCTGTCAGCAGGCTGGAGTGCAATGATGTGATCTTGGCTCACTGTAACCTCTGCCTCCTTGGTTCAAGCGATTCTCCTGCCTCAGCCTCCTGGCACATGCCCCTACACCCAGCTAATTTTTGTATTTTTAGTAGAGACAGGGTTTCACCATGTTGCCAGGATGGTCTCAATCTCCTGACCTCGTGATCCACCCGCCTCGGCCTCCCAAAGTACTGGGATTACAGGCATGAGCCACTGCACCTGGCCAATGTTAATGTTTAAAAAATAGAAGACAGAAGCCAAACAAATGAGGATACTACCGTATGAGAACTACTACATCACAGGCAAATCAAAGCGCATGGGAGGGTAGGTGCCTCACTTTATCCTGGGGAGCTGAGCAGACTTCAGAGGTGGTATCTGAGTCTTGAAAAATGAGTAAGGAGATTGTTAGGCTGGGAAGGGGAAAGGCAATCTAAGCAGAGAGAATGTTTAATGACATGGAAGCATAAAATTTAATGGCATGATTTTTCAAGAAGGAGCAAAAAGGTCTGGATGGCAAGATCATAGGGTGTGTGGAAATGGGTTTGGCTTGGGTGGGAGCAAGAATGGAGAGAAATGTTAAGAACAGTTGACTGCTGCATTCCAGGGCTCAGAGTATATGGACTTGTGGGAGGGGGCAATGGGGAGTCACTGGCAATTTTTACTACTCCTTCACCTCCCCAAGCCTGCTTGTTTCCCACGGTGGTCCATCCTGTATCACTGTTCCCACAGGTCCCTTCTTTACACCAGTCTTGTCTTTCCAGGAAAAAGAAAATCTGCTTTTCTGACTAACTGTAGTCTTGATCTTTCATCCATTCTGGAAAAATGGGATTTTATAGGCAGGTAAGGACATTCTCATGAATATATGTGAAGACCATCATTTTAGGAATTTACTTCACATTCTTGATAGTAACTTTTTAAATGCTTTACTTTATAAAAGTTTTATTTTATTTTATTTTTTTCCCCAATCTGCTTTTTCTAAACTAGTAAAAGCTAGTTTTCTGGAACTAGGTTACAGACAGACTTTGGCCCATTTAACAAGGTCAGACTGTTTATTCTTGACAGAATTCTTTCCCACTGTAAAAAGGTACTTTTAAATGCCACATTCCAAAACCAGTGCCAGTAAGCCACTGAAGCATATTTTCCCACAAGAACTGATACCATGTGCAGTCCCTACCTCACTGAAATCACCCAGTGTTACATAAGGTGTAGATAGTATTTAACGTCACCATGAAATCTACCAACTGAAATATGTCAGCCATATATTTATAAAACATTGGTAACCTTTAAAAAGTAATTAATAAAAATAGAAATAAAAAAAAAGAAAGGGAAGGACAGTGCTAGAAATTTTTAAAAAAGAATTTAAGACAGAGGAAGAAAATGTCTCATAACTTTATATCAGTATCCAAACCTGGAGTAATAGAGCTTTTTCTCCCTTAGTTTGGGGTTTTTATAGTTGAGCTGTTAAATTTACAGCCCCATTTTTAGATTCTGCTGGACTTCAAAATAAATATACGAGCAGTGCTAAAGTAAATTCTCCTATGCTTTCCCCTTTTCTCTTGTGGATGTTTCCCTGAGATTTGAAGGTAGATTATTCCTCCACAGCCAATAGTAAAGTTCAACGTTCAAATTTATGAGGGATTTAAAAATCATCAGTATCCTTGTAGATAGATGATGGGTGCAACAATGTCACTCAACTGGGTTTCAATCCCTACAGAAGAGGAAAGAAGAAAGCAGGAGCAATAAGAGGAATGGTTCAGTAGTCAAAAGACCATCATTTAGAAATGCATTGGGAAGATTAGTAATAAAGTCAATACATGCAACAGAAAATCCAACACTACAAAGTAATCATATAAAAGTCTGAGCTCAGCTTTTGGAGAAACCTATACAGATAACAGGAACACATATTTAATCTTTTCAAGGACCCAAATGGATTAGATAAAAGACTAAGGAAAACTACAATGGAGACATTTTCAACCCCTTCTTGGGACACCGTGGTTCCTCCAAAGATCCCAAGAGATCTTAGCTTTAAAATAAAAGCATAACATACAGAAAATCTAAGTGCAGAAGTCAGGAGATCTGGCAAGGTTTGTGATCTCGAATAAAAAAGGACAAAGGACAATAATTATCTGAAGGTTATGAATGGCTGCCCAGACAGACATTCAAAGTGTAAATGCCACTCCCTCAGAGCTCAAGTTATTATCAAGGAGTGATGTAGGCAATTGGGAAGATTAGCTGAAAGTTATGCCTAAAAAAAATTAAAAAGATTTTTTTAGATGCTTATAATTGATGATGGAATGATACAAGCAGTAACATGGAGAATGCAGAGTAGAAAATTCATTCATTGATTCATTTGTAAAAGCAGGGAGTTGTGAAAGCATTTAAGTTCAAAGAATAGTGAAAAGCTGATAAAGAATATGTGCTTATGTATATGGGGGTAGACTGGGTAGACGTGATGAAAGGACAGAAAGGTAGGTTGGAGCTGAACTGCAAAAAGCTTTGTATGCCATGCTGTAGAGTTGCAATTCATTCTTTAGGCACTGGAGAATCATAAGGATTCATTCATTCATTCACCATGTACTCAAGTGCCCACCTTGTGCAAGAAAGGCACTGTGGGAAATGCTAGAATACACAGAATGTTATTTGGACTGAGTGAATAAAAATGAATATAGCCAGTGTTACAGAACTTGAGAAACATTATCTTGATTCAGAAACTTACACTATGATATTATCAAAGTCCAAGCAAAATATAGTGCCACCTCCTTCCCTCACAAGGAAGCAGCGACGGCTCTGAAATACAAGCAGCTCACATAACCAAACAATTAGAGGACGCAAAAGTCCAAGTTACTGAAATGTTGCTTTATATTCAATTCAAGGACCATATTTCATACTCCTTTGAGTATGAACACAACATTTGAGTTGAGTTAAGCAAATTTAGGGGAGATGGAATTATCACATTAAATAGAGGTCTAGCCCCCTGAATAAGCACAGAGGCATATTCCCAAAAATGTTAAATGTAGGAGGCAAAATGTGTTTTCATTTTCTGGATCCCTGAGAAGCCCTTTGCTTGCAAACCTTTCTGAAGCATTTGGTCTCATTAATCTTAAAATGATGCTTGGTCTTTATGTTTAATTTGGCCTCAGGCTTTTGAGATTTTGAATGGCATCATATAGGGTGTCTATATGAAAAACAGGTTCAGGCATGGTAACTCATGTCTGTAATCCCAGCACTTTAGGAGACTGAGATAAGAGGATTGCTTGAGGCTAGGAGTTTGGCTCGGCCTGGGCAACATAGTGAGACCCCCATCTCTAAAAAAAAAAAAGTAGCTAGGCATGGTGGTGTGTATCTTTAGTCCTACTACTTGGGAGGCTGAGGCAGGAGGATGGCTTGAGCCCAGGAATTGGAGGCTGCAGTGAGCTATGACTGTGCTACTGCACTCTTGCCTGGACAACACGGCAAGACGTGGTCAAGGAAAGGAAAGAAAAGGGGATAGTAAAGGAAAAGGGGAAGGAGGAGGAAGGAAGGAAGAAAGGAAGGAAGGGAGGGAGGGAGGAAGGGGGGGAAGAAAGAAAAAAAAAAAGAAAGACAACTAGACTCTCTCTATATCATACCCTGATAGATGCTGCCTAACAAATGCAGGAAGAAAGCAAGGAACATCCAGCTCTTTCTCTGAATAAAACATCCTCCATGCAGTAGCATTACAGTTGAACTGTTTTTGTCCAAACTCATTTACAACAGTAACCACTTATGAAGGAGCTAGAATTAGGTGAGTCAAATGAATGACTATCTTTTATAAAGAAGGAAATCAGTCATTTGATTGACTTCGCAAATCTACTTGCTGCAATTAGATACCCACACACATGTACATGCACCAAAAGCAGCTTTTTGTGCAGTATGGAATACGTTCTCTTTCTACATGGCAGAAATTCTTACAGTGGTCGTCGATATTTGCCTTCACCTCGGAGGCAGAGTTAACCTATCAGATAGTAACTCAAATGTGTTTTATTACCGCTGAGAACGCGCAATGGAGAATCTGGATGGGTTTTCATGTTTGTTTTTGCTCTGGCATTTTCCACGTACTCAGCTCTGGGAATCCTAAAGAAAACGTGTCCTGTTCCCAGCTCTGTGCACTGCCCCCATTGTGTTCCACTTCCCTCATTGGTGAAAGTGAAAATGAAACCAGCACAAACACTCCATTGTTAACTATGAAATACATACTGGCAACTGGATGTTTTGACAAAACAGACCTGGTTGTGTCATGGCAAGACGTGGAGCGGAGAAGGAGTCACAGGAGCCCTTCCTGCTTCAGAGGTGTGTACTGCACTTTTGCTGAGGTGACGAGGCAACAGGGCTTTGGGTTTTTTCCATTATACTCATGTAATGTTCTTGGTTTGATTTATTCAGTATGCACTGGCAGCGTTTGGAGGCTTCTGTGGGAGCTACTCAGCTGCCCAAGCTGAGGCACAAACCCTGCCAGGTCTCCATAGTAAACACAATGCTCACGAAGAGGAAACAAGCATAAACAATTTATTTTCTCCTGTAAAAGATGACATTGTTCTCCGATCTCTGATCCTGCTTCTCTGTGTCACTTGGTGGTGCCAACTAGGCACTGTAGAATGAGTCACTCCAAACACACACGCACACACACACACACGCGCGCGCGCACGCACTCCAAGCACAAATTGCACGATGTACACATTCACAGGGTCCATATCAGGTTCATTCAAGAGGAGGATACTGGTGACCTTTTTAAACATCTTGGCTGAGGAGGGAGGGCTTTTGACCTGGGTGAGGAGGAAGGGCTTCCCTGGCCCTTAGCCTAGGCAGGTTCCTGAGCCTTATCATATGGCCTCATAAAACCATATCCTTTTTTTTTTTTAATTGCACTTATCTCTGTTTCTAACTACACTTTTCTTTGTGTGACTATCTGATTTAGATCTATCTCCCCATCTCCCTTATAAGCTCTCTGAGAGCATGGACCTTGTCCATTTCCATTCACCATCATCCCTCAGGTTTACAGATAGCATCTGATAGAAAGTGATCAGTAATTATTTGTTGACTGAAAGCCACAATTCAATTTCATTGATTTTCTCCCCTAGGCTTATCAAGAAGTTTCTGAATCCACAGCATTCCTTCAGTGTTACTAAATGCTATCAACACTGGGATCAGAGTAAGGAAGATCATCAGAGGCATAAGAAGGGGATGTAAGCAATTTTTTTTTCTTCAAGTTCCAGAGTACATGTGCAGGATGTACAGGTTTGTTACAAAGGTAAATATGTGCCATGGTAGTCTGCTACACAGATTATCCCATCACCAAGGTATCAAGCCTAGTGCTCGTTAGCTATTCTTCCTGACGCTTTCCCTGGCAATTTTTGTAATACTTATGGTATTAAATAAGTTAATGATCTCAAATAAACAATATTGGGAATCTTATCAGTTACAGATTTAAAAAAATTTCCAAATGAAGTTTTGTACTCTGTACAGCTGTCCAGTAAGCGTCTTCCCATGTTTAAAATTTACTTGTTGTCTTTTTGGGATTTCTATGGAATAAAAGGTGTTTTTAAAACATGTATATCTTTTATTAATGAAGGTAATATGGAGAAAACGATCCTTGGAGAAAGGAAATATAATTCATTTAGTGGGAATTTTATTAAGTCACTAAAAAGATAGGAACATATTCCCACTCTTCCATTATGGTACAAAAAGGAATTTTTCTCTAAACTATATGGGTGGGTTAGGTACAGGCATTAGAAGGGAAAATGCTAACTTCTTTAATAGCATTAAATGATTGCATAAAGGCCCTCAAAATACAATGACAGGCCACTCTAGGGTTCAGTGCAAAGAAGAAATTGATGGAAGGCAGGCCAATTTTGGATGTCATCTCAGGAGGTGAAGCTACTGAGGTCAAAATGAGGTAAAAAAAAATGACCTCATTTTAGGTTATAGACTTCTCCCTACCCATGGATGGCTTTCTGATGGCTGTCCTGGGGAGTGACTGGCTCTAACTGCCTGGGTGTTGTTAATCACATGTGGTATAAAAACATCAATACTGGTATCACCTTGGGTGGCCCCCAAAGTAGTCCCAGGTACAGTGAGAGCAGCACGATGCATGTGCTGTTGCAATGACACACTTGGGTAATTTTAAGAGAGAGGACACAGATAGAAGTGAATCCTTTTTCCTAAGCAATGATACTTTTATAAGACATTTGGTTCCATAGTGTGGCAAAAGCTTTATTGAGATCTACATAAAAAAAGAAAACTAGGAGGTATCAGTTCACGACCCAGTGTTTCTCACTGTGTCAAAATGTGGTATGAGCTAGTTGTTTTTGCTCTTACCATTTTAACAAGACTTAAAAAATTTTTTTAAAAATGGACTCCTAAATATTTGTGGAACCTCTAAATACCCTTTGCAGAACCCGAAAGTTCCACAGAACACAGTCTGATACCTTCTGAGGTATTGAATTTTTGGTACGGAACAAAGAGTTGTAGGGATAGTGGGCCGGAGCCAGTGTTATAAACATTAGAATTCTCTAAGCCATTTACAATCTATTTGGGGAATTCAGACTTAATCTGGTCACACTGCCTGTTTGAATGGCAGTTTTCCCACTTTCAGAATGAAATGGTTGATAAAGAGTTCCAAGAACACCAAATCCAATGGCAACAGTATCACTCTCCAAGCTGTATGGTTAGGTTTAGAAAAAAAAAATAAAGATTTTGCATCATAAATGGGAAGATAAGACTGCTCCCTTCCTGAGCTTGCTGGTCACAGTGCTTCGTGACTGTCTGAGCCCTCACCAGGGCGGCTGGTGATGTTCTTGGCTCTGCTCTAAGATGTGTCAGACTCAGGTGCTGTCAGGTAGGACTGAAATTGCCAGCTGAGCGGCTGGTCTGTATTTTCCTTATCTTGACAAAAATGAGTTACACTATGCACTACATTTCACATGAGAAGGACTTAGAAATGTTGACTTCAGAGTGACTCTAAATATAATTTCAGCTTGTCACAACAGTCATTGTACCAAATATGTGTATATTCTTGAAATACTTTTGCCACAGACATTATATAACTGCACGTGTTATGATTCTTACCTATCAGTTACCTGCAATGGAAAGAACCTCCCTGGAACCTGTTCTCATTGGTTTTCCAATGAGAATAAATGTAATAGTTCAATAGAGGTCAGAGAAGTTAATTTTTCATGGTTTCAGAGAAGTTTTTCTGACAAAAATAACCCATGCCAGGTGTTAAGTGTAACAGGCCCCACTTTTCTGCACATTTCCAACTCCTTCTTTGAACCACAGGGGGCCTCACACACATACTTACGTGACACTCCAGACTGCAAGTCCAAGCTCTGCTCATATGCTGCAAACAGCTGCCCCTGGGCTTAGGAGTGAACACGCAAGTGACAAAATCTCTATTAGGAGGAAGGATGAGCCCATGCTGTTCCCATTTAGTCAGGGAACTGCAATGTCCTGTGTGTGGTATGGGGTGGGGGTGGAGGTCTCAAGGGACATGTTTCCTTGGCATCCTGGGTTGTGTGCTTCACAAAGGTAGACAAGGCTGGAGCAGGGCCAGTGTAGGCTTCTCTAAAGCATGAGATCCAGGACAGGGGCCCCTCTTGCCTAGGATTAAGGCAAACACTGTTGCCATCCACATCTTAATTATACAACAATTAAAGAAATAGGTATAATACCCTGTATAGGTACATGTGCACACAAGACACTATATTGAGCAGCAAGAATCCAATACCCCATAAAGACACCTGAATGTCATGCTGGAGGCAGCCTGGCAAAGTTAGGCATCCAAAGGACATTTAATTCTTTGATTAGTCCTCAATTTATCAGATGAGGACAAAATAAGTCATTTGGTACAATGTTACATACCACTTACAGCTATAACTACAGTCCAGGCTACTGTCCTAAATTAATTTCTACCAAAGGCCAACATCTGAAGTATATTCTACTTATGAAACTTGTTTTTCATAACAAGAAACTCATTTTCACTTGAAAAATAAAATAATAAAGATGAGAATATAAGGAGTTATATACCTTAAGATGCCTGGAAAGCTTACCTGTCTAGAACAACTAATTTCTCAATTAATCCAAAAGATGCTGTGTCTTGAATACCGGCATAGAGCACACTGGCTCAGAAATTAAGGAGCAGGAGTTGAGGATCTACCAGGTGATCATGAACTTAAAAATGAAAATAAATACTGCTAACTGCTTCCTCAAAGTTCTCTATGGAAGAACATTTTGAAGTTTTCAGGAAGAAGCTAAGAATATACACTTTTATAATTGTTCAAATAGAAATATCATTCATTATGTAAATACATATATATTAACATAGATAGTAAAAGTTGTCTAGTAATTCACCCATTCTTTCATTCAGAGGATGTTAATTATTTTAGAAGAATACGACTCCTCTTCTAAAACTTGCTTTAATACCAAAACACAAGGGGTTAAAGAAAGTCTTCGACTTTGGGAGGCCGAGACGGGTGGATCACGAGGTCAACAGATCGAGACCATCTTGGTCAACATGGTGAAACCCCGTCTCTACTAAAATTACAAAAACTTAGCTGGGCACGGTGGTGCGTGCCTGTAATCCCAGCTGCTCGAGAGGCTGAGGCAGGAGAATTGCCTGAACCCAGGAGGCGGAGATTGCGGTGAGCTGAGATCGCGCCATTGCACTCCAGCCTGGGTAGCAAGAGCGAAACTCCGTCTCAAAAAAAATAAAATAAAATAAAATAAAATAAAATAAAATAAAATAAAATAAAGAAAGTCTTCGAATAGGTAGTAGAATTACAATAATGCTAAATTCCTTTATCTCTACAGCTTTCTGTTCAGGACAAGAAGTTCAATTCATACACATCATTTATTCATGAGGCAGCAGAAAGGATTATGGTAAAAACAATACATAGACTATGAACTTGGGTTTGCATCAAATTTTCACTCCTAACTTGAGGCTGAACTATAGCATGTATCAATAGCTTTCATGATTTTTGAAAGACCTACTATGAAAGGACATTAATACTTATTAATACCTTTCATGATTTTGAAAATGGCCTCAGCCATTTTAAGGTATATGTTCTAGTAAGTCCTTCAGCTGAGCATTACCAGGTAGCTATGAGAAATATTGAAACACATCAAATGAGACCATTAAATGTATAACGTAACTCCTTCCCTACATTTATTACAACTCAACTGCTTATATCTGCAAGTCAGCATTTGTCAATTTATTCACTGAAAAGTATTTCCTGAGTGCCTATCAAAATAAACAAGGCACTGTGTTTTAGGGCTGAATAAGATGAGCATCTGCCTTCGAGGAACTTATAACCTGATAAATAAAATCCCCAAATAACTAAAAACAAGACAGAAAACAGTATTATGGACCAGGCGCGGTGGCTCATGGCTATAATCCCAGCACTTTGGGAGGCCAAGACGGACAGATCACTTGAATTCAGGAGTTCAAAACCAGCCTGGCCAACATGGTGAAACCCCATCTCTACTAAAAATACAAAAATTAGCCTGGGGTGTTCTGTAATCACAGCTACTTGGAAGGCTGAGACACAAGAATCTCTTGAAACTGGTGGGCAGAGGTTGCAGTAAGCCACGATAGATGGGGTCATTGACTCCAGCCTGGGCAACAATGTGAAACTCCATCTCAAAACAAAAACGAAAACAAAATATTACTCTAGAAACACTGAGAGAGTAAAGAGGAATTAATTTTTGCAAGGGATACTAGAAAGGCTACCCCTGGAGTCAGGCTTTGAAAGATAAGTAAAATACTAGCATTTCTCATAGTTTTAAGATGTCAGTTTCGAATCAGTTAACTTGTAATTCCTTTAACATTCCACAAATTAAGCTGATTCTCAGTTCCTGTATGACATAACCCACTAAAAAATGTGTATTTCCAGGAAGGGGAGTGTAGTCTTTTTCTCTTCAAGAGACACTAAAAATATATAACAGTTCACTTTGAAAAATTATGATTCCAAGTTTTTATATGTCACCATGTGTATATAAATCAATGCATTACTATATTAAATGGATATTTCCTTTAAGTAGAAAAATACAAAAGAGTGGGGACATTTTAAAATGTACTACCCTATAGCAACATATCCTTTATTATTGCCATTAAATTCCAACTGTAACTCTTTCAAATAAATTCTGAATTTGTTCTATTCCAGTGTCCTCAGTTGCTAACATGTTTTACTTACGTCATTATAGGAAATACAAAACATGCAGTAAAAACTAGGTACTGAAAAACTGTGTATTTATGACTGCCTTTCTCCCTTTCCTCTATGTCTACATTTTCCTGTTTGAACATATCAACTTTCAGCAAGAATGGAATGTTAACTGATGTTACGCACAAGCTGGGCTATTATTCCTCAAATTTAATAAGCAAAAAATAAAATAAAATAAAATCAAAACACAAACCAACTGGGTTTCCTGTTTTTATGTATGGTTATTAGTGCCCATTTGGAGGGATTAAAACAAAAGTGTCCATCTCGGTTACAGCTCATCCT